CCTCTTCATGAAAGAGACAAGTGAAGGAAATCATGGGGGAATGTCTGACGATACGCAATTAGGAAGAGTAGAGAAGAGGGAGCTCTTGGTGAATAGCGTCACTTTGTCTGGTGAGGTAAGGGCCAAGGGCCTTGGCTGAAAAGGGAGAAGCCAAGTTGGCGACACGGGAGACTAGAGGAACAAAGAGCTTTGGAACAGGCTCTACAGTGAGTGGGACAGTGAATCGATTAGGCAGGAATGCCTAGCTGCAGCTGTGTAACATCTTCAAGAGCTGGAGGGTGCTGAGATGTACCTGGCCCCACAGGCTTCTTCAGCATGAATACCTACAAGGGCAGGCAAGCTTCAACCTGTTCCCATTCTGCACCTGTTCGGGCAGATTTTGGCAAACTTCACCATGCTGTCAAACTGGCCAGGAGATTTATTTCCTCAAAGAGCCACGCAATTGTTCTGCAGCTCTCAGGTTTTTTAATTAATTGTTATTCACCAGCCCCCTAATGCCACTTCACGTTGAAATACCAAAGCTATCCATCAGAAAACAAACACCTCAGCCCAATGCGTTTGCTCAGAAAAACCTTTGGGTTTTTTTCAGTGAGCTTAGCGCCAGCCAGGTAAAGATGGCCAGGGCCATAACTAGCAAAATTTCCACCTGGGGCAAGTGGGGAGTCCTACGTTATGGTTGATATGCCTTCAGGATGCCACAGAAAGGGGCTACTGGCTGGAACGGCTGTTTGTCCATGGTGGCTGCCCCATCTAATGTGACTGGAGAAGAACTGGTCCAGTTTTCTTCTAAATTGTGCCTCCTCCATCACTCTCTACTGCTCACCTGACCTCCTGCTGCATCCACCCGAAAAAACAGCTTCCATCCTGACCCCTGACCCCTGCTGACGACCATTCTGATTGGATGCTTCCTTTCTCTTCGCAGCTTTTCTATCTTCTTTTCCTTATAGCTTTTTAATTTAGTCACATGAACATACACGTTGTTTCCCTCAAGCTAATGTCAGATCTTTGATGACAGGACCCATTAGTCTCAGCACCTGGCAGTGTTTGGCAAAGAGAAGAGGCTTCACAAATAGTTGCTGGCTGACTGCCTGGGAAGCAGCTAGGTGGCTCACTGGATAGAGCTCTGGACCTAGAGTCAGGAAGACCTAAGTTCAAATCCAACCTCAGACACTAGCTGTGTGACCCTGGGCAAGTCACTTGACTCTGTTTGCCTCAGTTTCCTCATCTGTAAAATGAGCTGAAAGAAGGAAATGGCAAACCACTCCAGTATCTCTGCCAAGAAAATCCCAAATGGGGTCGAGTTGAACACAAGTAAACAGCATTATCTTGATACACTCCCATGCAAGTTAGACTCGTTTGGGGTTTTTTTTTTCCTCAAAAGGTATTGAAACCATTTTCAAGACTTGACTGGCTCAAGAGCTCAAAGGTTCAGGGCCAAAGGTGGGGAACTTTCAGCCTCAAGGCCACATGTGGCCCTCTAGGTCCTCAAGTGCAGCCCTTTGACCTAATCCAAACCTCACAGAACAAATCCCCTTAATAAAAGGATTCATTCCGTAAAGCCTGGTTCAGGCTCTCGGCTGAACTATTCCTTGTCCCCTGAATATACAACAGCCTAGAGGAGCATGTGGACTCTGCTGCCTGGCTGGCTCACCACATAATTATTGTCATTCAGATAATAATGTAAAGTGCATAGCATAGTGCCTGACACAGAATAAGTACTACATATCAGCTATTATTATTATCATGGTTTACAATTATAAATTATCCCTCTCAGTTTTGTAACACCTTTCTATGCCTCTCCTTGCTTGAAAAATGATGGGTTCTCATATTTGGAGTTAGAAGGGATCTTAAAAGTTATCCAGGCCACTTCCCTCATTTTACAGAAAAGGAAACTGAGTCCCAGGGAATTTGTGACTTACCGAAAGCTAGAGAATCACATAGGTTTAGAGCTGGATGAGACCTTCGAGGCCTTCATTTGACACATGGGGAAAGCGAAGCAAAGAGAAGTAGTGACTTACTTAAGATCACACAAGTACTAAGTGTTACAATTTGAACTCAGGCTCTTGGACTCCAAATCCAGCCCCATTAATGAGGGCTCCTTCCAGACAGAAAGAGGCCCATACTTTGGGGCTATTGTTCTTCATAGATATCTGATTCAACCCAACACATATTAAGTGCCTACTGAGTACAGAGAACTATCCTAGGCCTGGAGGAGATAAGTCTAAATAAGGCACAGTCTCTACTCCCATGAAGGTTACAGTCTTAATAATAGAGGGAGGGATAAGCCGTACATAGGTAACTATCATACACAGTAATGCATGGTAAGTGTGAATTAGAGAAATAGAAAACTAGGTTTCACTCAAGGTCTCAATGGGCAGGTTGATGCCAACAGGTAAAATCAGGGAAGACTTCATGGAAGAGGGAGCATTTAAGTTTGGCTTCAGACGACGGACCAAGGGAGGGCCTTCCAGGTGGGCAGAGGGGAACGTGTAAGGAGAGCCACGAAATGGGACCGTGAAGGGATACGGGCTCAGTCTGGCTGGAGTGAAGGGTAACACGGGCGGAGAGCCTTCAGCAGAGTTCACAAGACCAGCACCAAACACCAGCACCACCTTTACCAGACTGTCCACTCCAATTTAAAGGAATGTCATCATCAGCGCACCTGCTGGTGCCCACTCTCTTCAGTCCCGCTCATTCTTTCTTCATATTCAGTCGGTCACTTAGCAGCTTAAGATCTCTAAGGCTCTGGAGTGTGCCCCCGCCTTTCTTTAATCAGTACCATCTATGGCTCAGGCCAACGGCGTGTGCAACAATGATGCAAAGTCATTCCAGGTGGTCAATGAGGGTATTCCCTGAGTCCAAAACAAGTTGAATTTCAGAGCTGCATTTTTTGGCCAGCTCTCATGGTTTTTATAATCCTATTTTGAATTGTTCATCCCTTAGAACAATGCTAAAAATGACAGAGCCAATAGTGTGAGTTTAACTTCTGGGGTCCTAAAAATAATTCCAGACAGACCATCCCTAAAGAAAACCCTCTTTTCAGAAATGAGACGGCCCCTCCCTCGCTCCTGTTTTTGCAAAGGTGGGGGGGCCTATGGGCACAGAGCACTGACTATACATATATATATATATATATATATATCTTTGGTTATTTTTTCTGAACTACTTTTTCTTAACTTCTTTTTATTCTTTGTTATTTGTATGGGACGGCTCTCTTGGTTGGGGAGAAGGGAGAAGGATATTTTGGGAAATTAAAGAGATGAAAGAAAGAAAACACAAAACTAAGATCACTTTTTACAAGTACAAATATTTTATTTTTTCCCTGAAAAAAACAATTAGGTCCAACCAAACATATTCCACATTTCACCTGTTGTGGCCCATGTTGTTTCTTCACTTACACAGCGCTAGCCTATAGGACGGCTGCAGAGAAACTCAGACAGCTACCTCTGAATACGAAAAGCACCTGAAATTCTCCATCTTTGTTTTAGTAAAATATTTTAATAATTGGTACAACATGACAGCATGTTTCAGGAATGAATATTCCCAAATGCAACCCTGCAACACTTCATTCACTACAGTTGAACACACAGCCACTGTGCGGCACGTAGCTGAGGAATAGAGAACAAGGTAGAAGGGTGAACCAGAGAGGGCATCAGGATGACAGGTGGGCCAATTGCACAAAGGAAAGTTAAGCTGAGCTTTCCTTGGCTGCACACGCAAGGTCCCGAGTGAGAATCTGCTCAGGCACTCCTAGACCCTCCCCCAGGAGGCTGCCACCAGCACGGCACCCTGTCTTCCGCTTGCTGAGATCCCTCTGGGGGAGGGCAGTGAGACTTGGAACAGTGAATCTCGCCTGCTCTCCTCAGCAGTGTCCTGTCAAAACTCACTGCGCGTCCCTGGGGAGGGCGCAGCCTGAACCTCATCACCAGCTGCTGCGGCTCCCGGAGCATCAGGGAAATGAAAATTAACTCCCTCCTTAGCAAACCAAGGCTACTTACTGGCAAAGTTACTAGACTCCTCTGAGCCTCAGTTTCCTCATCTGCACTTTACATTCTCTGATTCTATGAAAAAGAGCTGAAAGCTGTTCTTGAAAAACTTCTCCTTTATATGATAAATATATTCTTGAAAAGTTCTAAGTTCAATTTGTATAATTATCTCCTAAGACAATGAAGTCCACCACAAAGAGAAATGGGGCCACTAAACCATATATAAAGATCACTGCAGAGCACAGATTAACCTGGAAAACCATATATTAACAATATTTATATTCTACCATACTTTTCACTATTTTGTTAAATATTCTCCAATGACATTTTAATCTAGTTTGGGCAGTGTATTTGATACCGCTGCTCAAAAGGTCCTGAAAGCCTGCTACTTAAAAGAAGCATTTTGTAAAGTAAATAGCTCCCCCCCACCCCACCCCCACCCCCTGCAACGTAGCTACTGCATAAATCCAGATTGTCACATTCAGTTTCCTGAAAGGAGGCTCCACATGTAAGAACCAACATTTCCCTGACTTTCCATTTCACCAGACTCCCTCCCCAGCACCTCTCCTTGTGAGAAACATCCAGAGAGCCCCCCAATCTCCTCCTTGAGTTCCCAGACTAGATTCATATTTCTCCCTTTAATTCAGTACCAGAAAAAAATAATCCAGAATAAAGAGAGGCTGCACCAGGCTGCCAACACAAACTGTCCAGGGGTTTGACATGAAAAGAGAAATCATGGAGATATTCACATATCTGGAAACCATAATTCTTCATTTAAATTAATTATTTTAATTAATTGCTATAAAATATTCATTTTTTTCTTAGAATGTGGCTAAGAGAACAAAATATCTAGGGGCAGCTAGGTGACACAGTGGATAGAGCACCGGCCCTGGAGTCAGGAGGAGCTGAGTTCAAATGCGGCCTCAGCCACTTGATACTCACTAGCTACGTGACCCTGGGCAAGTCACTTAACCTACCTGAAAAGAAAAGAAACCGAAATATCTAAGTATGAGATTATGTTCACTTAGCTGTTGACAATTTAATTGTTCCAATATCTGGAACACATAAGTTCTGGACAGTAGTTGCTTCACTATCTTCAAGTTATGCTTTTGCGAACAAAATGTTTAGATATACAGCAATCTCTCTTTAGATATTCTGGCAAATAGTGCAAATAAAGACATTCTTTGGGTCGTGATTTTCAAACATTCTCAACATCATATCCTATTCTCTATCAACAACTAGGTAACAAAATATAATACTGTAAATACACACATTTCCCAACAGCATTAGTTTAACATTTATGAGTTATGTCTGTTGAAAAGATGAAAAAACGGTTCAACTACAATATTTTCCACTTGTCCAAAAGACATATATTTCTACTTAAATAAATATAGAAATGAGCTCCTACATCTTTTGAATGGTTTGAGCTTCGCCCCAAACACAAAAGCCTTGTACACCAGCCACCTGCTTATTACATCAGCGCTGGGGCCGCGATAAAGACCAGCAAAGGCAGAAACCTGCCTGAAAGTAACACATGGACCATCTTTTTCAATTATATACAGAAATGAAGGTTCCCTGGATCCCACACACTCCTTGGAAAACATCATGTAGACCACCTGCACGGAGCCAGCGACGGCTCCTGCCCGAGCCGGAGAGATTCCACGGCATTCCTGGGAGGGGAGACGAGCCACGAGCCGTGGCTCGCGTCGTGGCCGAGGGACTCTCAGGCCGCTATCTGATGTGGCCCGACGCGTTGATCCTCTTACTGGGAGTCCCGGGCAGGAGGTTCCCGCTGGTGCCATTGGTGATGTTGGCGGCCACATCACTGACCCCGATGTAGTCCACTCTGTTCTCCAGTTTCACCAAGCGCTGTAAAATGTCATCCAAGAGGACGGCAATAGTTCTTTTCAAATCAGCTGGGAAAGGAAAAGACGGCCCACATGAGAAAAAGAAAAAAGGGACTAAATGATGTCACAATTATGCCCTTAATGCCTGGATCTGAGTGGGAATCAGAAGGAATCTGTGCAGTCTTTATGGCAAACCTTAATGCATGGACAATGCATTCACGTACTCCACAGACCTTCTGAAGCAGCTATGTGCAGGACACGACCCATGCCACAGAAAGCGCACCCTGGGAGGAGGCATGTGACGTTGGGCAAGTCACCTAATCTACATGAGACTCAGTTTCCTCATCTGTAAAATGTAAGGGTTTAACTAGATGATTTCTGAGGCACTTTCAGCTCTAGACCTGTGATCTTATATTACTAAAAGCATCCTTTTCCTAATGTTTAATTACGTTTACACTATGGTACCTTTGCATTTGGTTGTAAGGCACATCAGTCCCTTTTAATTATCTATCTTTTTGGTCAGGCAAGCTGGTGATGAGGACTCGAGGCAGGCTACAGGCACAGGTAAAATGTGTGATCAGCGTAGGCGAGTGTGAATAAGAATAGCTCCTCTGGACCAGAGGCAGGAAATTAAGATCTTTCAGCTGCTTGAGGGGAGGCCAGGACCTGGGGAGCAGTTCTAATTTCCAGTAAGGGTTTTCTGGGGCAACAGGAAACAGCTGGGGAGGAAGCCATTAGGAAGTGGGGGGCCAAGGCCTCGGAATTTAAAAGGCCCTATCCAAGCACGACAGGATCTAATCCTTAGATTCTGAGCTGAGGGAAGGGGACAGTCCTCTTTCCAGGACTCTTCTGGGTCCACATCAGATGGTGGGGCCATCGTGTCAGGCCCAACTCAAAGGTCTGTCCTCCAAGAATTCTCTGGCCCCGGGATCAGGGCCCGGGACCAAGTTGCTCAGGAATGTTATCATTATTATCATGCTTATTACCATCTACCTTCTCCAACATTTTGTCTCTCAGCTTCTCTCTCTCCTAAGGTAGGCAGGCTCCTGAGCTCTGACCAGAATCTTTACTGACAAAGTCAGCTAAACAGAGTCACTAAACAACCACTGTACCTGCCCAGATTAAGTTTACCCAGAGGAGGCTCAAGGCAGTCTTCTCTTTAAAAAGAAAAAAAAGTGGAAGTGAAGTTGTTTTCAAAGGTAGGTTTCAAAGGTGTCGCTGAATTGTGTCACTGGATGGACTTTCCCCTTTATACTTGGCATAATTTTCCTCTTCAGAGGAAGAGGGAAAGGTCAGAATAGGGACCTGGGAGAAAGAGGTGACCACTCTGTCCCTCCCTCCACCCCTATGAGTCTCTCTGTTTTGGGGCCTGAAAAAAAGAAAAAGGCCAAGAAACGTCTGGCTCCACAAGACCCCAAAGGCCAAGAAGGATTCTGGTCCCAAGCTAAGCTTCGGCCTGAGTTAGAAAGGAACATTCTAATTAGGGTCTAGACATAAGAGCGAGGTAAGAAGACACCATTAAAGGAAAACTTAACAATTAGGAAGAAAGAAAACCCTATTTGTATCTTGGAATGTTTGACTTAACAATGCTCCAAAGGGCAATAAGCTTGGAATTAACTGTTTTAATAAAGCTGTTTTTATATAAACAGTGAGGAAATTGTTCTGTTTATAACAAGCTTGAGCAGAGAGCCACCTCCTCTGTCTTCAGGACAAACGTTTTTACTACCAAAGACTGCGTGCATCCCCTGTATCTATCACGAAGTGAGCTAAAAGCAGCTGGGGAGGAATAAGCTGAAGGATCGACCCATATCGCTCCTAGGGCCTGAGCCCTAAAGCACAAGAAGAGAATGATCCATCACCTCCATTCCAATTGAGAACAACCCAGGTCATCCCTAGCCTAGAGCAGCACTTGCTAAACTGTGGGTCTAGACCCCACATGGCGTCATGAAAAATCCAGCAACAGTAAAAGGTTTCTGAACACGCAACGACCAAAAATTAACTGAAAATCAAACACAGAATGAATCCGGGGTGTTTCTGTCAGGGATAGCCCATGTTGCCTGGAGCAACTTCACTGTAGCCTTGGTCTGAACACAAAGCACGCGCACTTTGCACTGCGCGTGCTCTCAGGCCACGAAAGCCAACCACCACTGGCTGCCAAACCACAAAAAAGGGTCTTAAGCAGAAAAAGTTTAAAAAGCCCTGGCCTAGAGGAAGGAAGACTGTCATGTTGCATGGATGGTTTTCAAGGCTGGCCCATGGATCTAAGACTGTAGATCAGGCTGGGGGGGTCTGGTCTGGTTCCAGATCCTGAGGCCTTCATCCATACTGTAGGCGTGGGGTGTGTGGGTGTGGGTGTGTGTGTGTGTGTGTGTGTAGCACCAGATGTGTGTGGAGTCCTTGGCTAGCTACTGAAAAGATGAAGAAGGAGGGAGAAAATAAAGACGCACGAGGACAGAAGGCCCCGGCCCGTAGCAAGGTCCTAGCAGAGGGAGGCAGGCAGAGGAATTAGCCCCCTGATTGTGACTGGCCATCTCTCTTCCTCTGTACTGGAAGCCAGGACAGATCCTGGCATGAGGCACCTGCAGAATCTTCTCCACGGTCTTCTGCTCTGCTTGAGGGGTGGTCAGAACGTTGAGGGCAGAGGGCAAGTTCCCACCAGCTGCTGTGTAGAGGAAGATAAGGAATCAATAAAGCAGCAGAGGGGACTTGACCTCCATTTACAAGAGGCAGAGGCAGAGTCAGCAGATCCAAGATAAAATAACACACCAGACTACCGGCTTGAGCACACCAAGAGTGGGTACAGAGGCAAGCGGAGTGGCTCTGAGACCGGGAGAATGGGCACGGCGGGGGAGACCCAGCATCAGAATGAGGAAGGGGAAAGGCCAGCATTAGTGTTCACGTTACAGGAGACTGTTCCTGGAGAGCAGAACTCCAGAGTGTGGAATGGAGAAGGCAGCACAACTCTCCAAGATGGTGGGGTCCGAGACAATCACACCGGCATGGGGCTGAAATGGGGACAGAAATGCAGTATGTGGAGGTGGAGGATGTCCAAGAGCTCGTGGATCGCGTGCTGTAATATGATTACCGAAGTCCACGGATTGATGACAAATTATGGGAAGAAGCCCAGAAGCCAAGGCCTAAAGCTCACTGAAAAAGAGAAAGACTAGGCAGCTAGGTGGCGCAGTGCATAGAGCTCCAGCCTTGGAGTCAGGAGGATCTGAGTTCAAATCCAACCTTAGACACTTGACACTAGCTGTGTGAACCTGGGCAAGTCACTTAACCCCGACTGCCTCACAGAAAAAGAGAAAGACCCATAGGAGGTAGATGGGTGGGGAAAGGAGTGATAACTGAGCCTCATGGACCTCCAGATGTCATTTAGGAATAATGATCTGGAAGTGGATACGGGAACCCGCTTCTCCCTGGCCTTGTAAGCCAAGGGCAGTGGAAGAAGGACTGGTCACTAGGGGAAAGGACTGCAAACAATGGGGCACCCCCAAGGGAGAGCTAGGTTTCTGTTATATCAAGGCGGGAAAAGAAATGTTGGTTGAAAAGTTCAAGAATATAAATGGCAGTTTGTGGACAATAAAGTGGGGGTTCCAAAGGGCACTGCAGATGCCCAGACAAGAGGTGTTTTGAGTTTGGGTGGGACTGGGAAAGAATAAGGGTGAAAACAACATAGAACGGGCATGCTGCTCAATCGTACCTAAGACAACTAAACTGCTTGGGAAGGCAGGCCCTACTGTTCCTGGAGGCCACGCGTGCTGGACACTGAAGAGAGCACTGGCTTTGTAGCCAAGGGACCAGAAGCCTCAGTCACTCCCAATGGGACCATGGGCAAGTCTCCTCCCAGCTCCAAGCCTCAGTTTCCTCATTGTTAAAATAAAGGGACTGTACTCAATGGCTTTTGAAGTTCCTACTGGCTTAGATCCAGGATCCCTCAGCAGTAGGACCACCAAGTGGAAAAGAGCTGACTGAAGCCCTGGCCCAGCAACGGACGGATGGATGGACCAGAACATTTGCAGTCTGAGCACCAGCCCCACTGAGCTCCTGAAGACCATCCTGATGATGAGGGCTGGGCTTTGCATCAGGGAGTTCCCTCACCCAAGAAATCACCGATCCTTGAAATACTAAAGTGATTTTAGAATCAAGTTGGATCTGTTTCCATAGGAAACAAAAATCTCTATCTTTGGTCATGCTAAGAAAAAACATACATATACCTTAACAATAATACCATTAGATATTTAGGAAACATTTTATAAAATTAGCAACTAACATCTTGGTTTTAAATTATGACATTTTTATCAACCTTTACAACTTAAAAAAATTCTGTTTTATAAGAAGATTTCATTTGAAACACAATCCACTCAATTATGTATACAAATACAGTGCTGGAGAAATAATAAGTCTTCATAATTCAGAGCCCACTTACTTGAAATTTGTGATTAATTCAGACTTGAATTGGGGTAAAAATTTACCTTCCCATTATCTATGAAAAGATAATTTGCTAAACAAATTATGTGAATCAGACTACACAGGGATTTCTCAGTCTCATTAAAATTTTAAACACTGTTGAAGTTTCTATAGGAGCAGCCTATTTGCAGAAAATGTGCTTGTTACAAAACAATCTTTGGCAATCACTAAGGCTGGAACTGGAAGAAAGACCACAATGACTAGTCAAAAGATGTGGCTTTGTATCCTGGCTCTGCCAGGCACTTCCTTGCCATCCTCCCTGCCAAGCACCCTCTGGACCCCTAGACCTCCTGACACCATGACCTAGGTGACTTAATCCACTCACTTTGGAAACCCCCATAATGGAATCATGCTGCCCTAACTGGTGGGTCAGAGTCAGGGCAGACAGTTACCCATAGCCCACTCTATATTAGCCATCCCCAAAGCCTGCTTCACAACTATCTAGCCATCCACTCTGATGCCAGGGAGGGTACTACTCTTACCACCGCCGCCCCCCTCCAATTTCCTCCTCTTCTACTGGAAACAATAATGAAATCAATATGACTATTGAGAAAGGATGTTAATTGGATTCCCTTATGGTTCTAACTCACCACCCCAGT